GGGGGGGCCCCCCCCCCCCCCCCCCCCAAAAAAAAACTTTACAGATGACACTTAATTACAATATGACATAAATATATCTCACCATGACAGTAATTCCATCCTTTTCCAGTGGTGTCTTATCATAGGTGATTTCACACACACGCACCACTGTTGTTGCCCCATACTTCTTCAGATCCTGAGGAAACAAGATTGCACAAGTTTTGAGGGACAAAACAGAGTACATTTAGTATTTAATTTAGGACTTTGAACAAATGTTTTAAGTTTGTTCTTGGTTGTGGTCCATTGATGTGCAGCAATTGTCACATCAGAGTAGGTTTGAAATTTTTCAGAGGAGGAAGTATGTGATCTTTCATGTTTTAAAATGATCATATGTCTGAATGGTATCTCACCTCAATGAAGCTGCTTAGTGATGCATTGGTTGGGTTGTGCGTGATAAGGAAGCGCATGTTTTTGTAGCAGACCTCGACAGGAGCCGGACGGTTCATCCTGGTCATGCTGGTGTCCCTCCACACTACAGAAAACAGAACACCCACTCCGAGCTAGGATCCACAGAGCTCCACTCACAGTACGGCACTACTCTGATCTAGAACAGTGCTACAGCAGATTCACTATCACAGTGAAGGTGTCAAGGACTTGCAGGATCCTCTACGATAAATCACTACTAGTCAGTATATAAAATTGAAAGCTGCCTTTCTGGGAAATTAGAAACCACAAAAGTCTTCCTCTTCCAACAAATCTGCCTCTTCCTCTTTATAGGGATAATCTGCCGGGCAACTAGACGGGTGGAACAGTGTCCGGTAGCTAAATGCCAGGTGCTGCGATGGCAATTAACCCATTTGGCGCACAGCAAAGTGGTCATTCAGAAAGACCAGCAAGAGAAAAGCACAGAAAGCGTTTCTCTGGACATTCAGTGGCAGATTTCGGGTATATCCACCCGTGATCAAGCGTTGCGATGTTGGGCGTGGCAGTAATCGCCGCTGCCCTGCCGGAACTCCATTAACGAACAAGAAACTGGAGGAGAAAGCTGTTAAGAGAACAAAGAAAGAAAAATTACCAAATTTTAGACAATCACATACCAATCCATAAACATTTTTTCTATATAGTATAATATATAATATAATATTCCTCTTAAAGTTCTTCAGCACCTTCTAATAAAAGTTTAAAAAGAAAATGTATAAACATCATGTCTATAGACAAAGCATTTAGGATTTAAATGGACAAATAGGTTAAAATAACACAAATATGTTCCTAACATTGCATCTATTTAGAAAAAGGTGAATAAAACAAAAGAGAAACTTAAATGAATATAGCATTAAAATGGATCAATTGGTTAATAACAAATTTGTTCTTAAATCATAAATTATGATGATACTCAATATATCAGACAGCACAATAGAAGCAGAATTTGAAACAAACCCATTGGTGTCCCAATTAAAGGCACAGCTCACTTCAAAATGAATTCATCACTTATTAACCCTAAAAGGTGATAGTCTCAGTCACCATTCACTTTCATTGAATATGAAAAATATGCAATGATGTCTAACATCATCTTTTGTGATCCACAGAAGAAATAAACTCACTCAAGTTTGGAACTACATAAGGGTGAGTAAATGATGACAGAATTTTCATTTTTGGGTGAAATATCTCTTTAAAAATGACACATAAGACACAAACTTAGAATTGAATACCATTAACCGCAGACAGTTTGACAGCAGAGAAAGCAGCACTCACCTGTGCCAACTTCTCAAACAATGAGACACTTTAAAAGAACATTTAAAAAGACAGAAAAACCTCCTGAACTTCACAGACACATGAAAAACAAGGAATCACACCACTTAGTTCAAGAAAGGGAGAGAGAAAGAAGCAAAAGCACAAAGAAACCTCAGTAATGTGCCATTTTCTCAATAACACGTGTAAGAAAATCATGTGGAACTATTGTGTCTGATCTCACCCATGACTCGTGAGAGTTGTCCCCCTTTACCTTTGAGACAGGCTGCGTCCCACTCAGGATTAAGTCCAGGGCTCTGCTGGGAACAGTGGAGGGTGAACAGTTGTGATCCGGAATAACCGTCTCTGCTCTAAACCAGTCAAGGCTGCCTTGGCTTGCCATATGACAGTGACAGCACACTCTGGTAATGTCACAAACAAATGCACTCGTAATGCTCTTAGGAGGAAACCAGTCCACCCCCACCCCCACCTCTCCCTCTTCCTCTCCCTCTCTTTCTCTCCATCCCAATATAAAAATAGCATGGCCAATGTACCTAATAGGTTTCACAATGTACGCTCATGTCTAATGGTTTAGTGGCTGGTTGAGAAATAATACACACTTCATTCCCGCACTGCAACAAGAAAGTACTCCCATAAAAAGTTTACTGGACTGTAAGTGGTTTAAAACTCACATACTTCCACATTCTGCCCTGTCATTTTAATATTTTCACAACATGACTGAAACAAGAAAGAGTATATAAAATGACCTTCAAGGGACAAGTTCTCTCAAAATTGTGTCATAATTTACTCACCGCCATGCTGTTCTAAACCTGTATGACGTACTTTCTTACATTCATCTAACTTCTTTCTTTCTTGTTGCAGAAGATAAGCAACAGTACATTTGCTCAACAGTGGACAGGAAACCTCAATTTAGACAGCGACTTTTTTCTACATGAGGTTATCATTCTGACACCTAAACCATAAAAATCATGTTACGTAGGATTCATAACAGATAAGAAAATAGACTCACCACAGACTGCCAGTGCAACCCTTTTAGTTACCCTGACACTCTTGTTGAGGGCTTAGCACATCTTGAGCCAAATCCTTTTACATAAAGCTGGAAGGCTGGACAGGTCTCTCTGCCCACTAGTGCAGTGTGTTTCCAGGTGCTCTGTTGGCTCTGGAGTAAATACAGATACTCTGACCTATTAATGTACACTAATCTGGACTGCTGGCACTCTGTTATTTATTTTGCTAGGTCATTTTTGTTCCTTTTTAGTTTTCAAGATGCCATTAGTATTCAGGCCTCTAGCTTAAGAGAAATTTAAAACAGCAAACATGGAGTGGAGAAAATTAAAAATGACCAGCTGAACCTTATAAAGAACAACCTAACTGTACAAGCATTCATCCAACAGCTCCTGAATTAACCAGGCTCTGTGATCAACAAGGCTTGATTGTAAACAGGTTTACACAACAGGCACTCAGCAAAAGTCCCCCCCCCCCAGAAGTCCTGGCTTGATTTCAAAAAGACCAATTCATTGAAGGATTAAATGCAAATGACATAATCAAGGGCAAGTGTTTCAAGTGATCGAACAACAAACACAACACATGACTCATCTGGGCCAGAACTCTCACCAAGCAGAAAGAAAAGTCATACAGAAATCTATTTAAGCAGTATGGAATGAAATACTATATTGTTGAATATTGTCAAAGGTAAAGGCTTTTCAGCAGCATATTACACATTCTAGAATGATTATAAAAATATACATTCTGTAATTAATCTGTAATGAATTATATATATATATATATATATATATATATATATATATATATATATATATATATATATATATATATATAATTCTGAAATTTAACATCCTAGAATGATGATGATGATAATAATAATAATAATAAATTCTGGTACTAAATATTTTGGAATCACTAAAAACATCACAGCCAAAAACTATACTCCTAAATGCCTAAATACTACATTATACCAAAAAAAATATATATATATATTATTAAAATATAGCTGAAAATTAAAAAAATTTTATGTTCAAAGTCTGTCGCTAAAATTCACAGGTCCTGGGACAATTTGTTTATGTTTGGGTGCCCTTTCCACTGTGCTGAAGAAGCAGATTTTACCACAGAACACCTTAATAACATTCCCCGTCATAAAAGAGCCCTCAACAATTTACCCGGTTGTCCCCCCAGTGATGGCCCTACATTGAAATAAAAAAAATTTATTTAACAGAAAGTGGCTACATATGGCCTAGGCTGTTATCCATGTTGAATACAAACTATCCTAATCACAAGAGGAACTAGGGGTTGACCGATTATCGGCGCCGATATTAAGCATTTTTATGATTATCGGTATCGGTCATTTTCAAAACCGCTTCGCCGATAAAATAACTTAATTTTGAAATGTGCTATTTGGCTCTGATGCAGCCTGTCAGAACTCACCACCACTCTGTGGCCGAAAGCAGTCTCCGCTTGCTGCTCATCTGATTTGTTGGGAGTCATGAGTCTGACCAATCAATGCGGAATTCACTCTCACTCCGAAAACGCTTGCTAACCGCTTGTTGCTAACTAGAGCTGCTTCAGTGATCACGCATCAGTTGTCTCTCAAAGGTAAGGCAGCAGCAGACCTTGCTTATGTTGCATTAGATCCCAATCCACTAACGTTACACTGAAGTTGCAAAACACCTCAATATTATGCGGAGAACGCGGACGGAATCGCGGAATCCAGTCATATAAATGGAATTTACTGTATGATGCGGAATGTCACGGAATTTGTCAAAGTTTGGATGAATTAATCAAAAGTAGGTCAGTACACTTAAATAGAGTCGCAATATGGACTAGTATCTGTAAATATTAAGCCGCAAAAACACAATTTAAATATGAATCCAGCATGCTCTGCGTGTCTCTGTATGTAAATGGCACAGACGCGTACGCGTTTTGTTTTCTACACAAAGTGTGTGACGCTCGCGCTGATTTCAGCTTCTGTCGTATCACTACATGAGGACATAAATACATGAACAACATCTCCAACAACTCCAGAACTGCTCTGACTCGTCACTTCATGAGCATTTGACAGTTTCATTGGAGTAAAACTATCTTCATATCATTTACATAGACCTACAGAAACAAGTTCCTCATGGCAACCCGTCAAAATATAAGTTCGGGTTAGCATAAAGAAATTATCAGAAATATATTACTGAGGTGCAGTATGATGTACATAATACTACTCGGGGATGAAAGTTTTCCATCGCTACGATGGATTTCCGTCAATTGGAAAAAATGAGGGGAAAAGAAACGTTGCACATTGTTGTTGTTCTGCCGGTGTTCTGGCGATTTGTTGGTAGCATAATCTGATAGGTTGCATTAATTGTCAGAACACCAGCACACCAAAAATCCTCCCCGCCATGGCTGCAGCTTCTCACTGACAACATAACGGCGCTCGCATCATTCACAGTCGGGTTATTAGCAGAGAACACAGAGCAGGTCTTGAATTTCAGGCGCAGGATTGCGGCTATTAATAATAATTATACTCAGTCCCGCAGGTTCCGCGCTTATAACGCGATGACAGATGACGGAACTTATCATTTGCACGTACTTTTGAGTCTTGAGAACTCTAATTTTCTATGCGCCCACAGATCACGATAAGGAGAGTGACAGATTTTAATAATTATTCAAGGAGTTTGCAAATGTGATATTGATTTAATACAACAGTTCAATAAACACGTACTGCCTGATTTTGCTCTATTTCATCAACGAAAATAGTTCCAAATAAAGTAACAGCTCAGCCGCTTCACATCTCTAAAAGCACCAACACCAGGGAAGGCAGAGTCCTTGTTATTCTTCATTTTGACATTAATTTTCATTTTTACACCAGACATATATCTATTAAAAATATCGGTTATCAGTCTACTTGATCTGTAATAATCGGTATCGGCCTTGAAAAACACATATCGGTCGACCCCTAAGAGGAACACTAAGAATCTTAGATTTACTAGAAATCTCCAGATTCTAATGAATTCAAGTTCTAAAGTTTTCAAGGAACTATCAACAGAATTCTGGAACTTCAGCTGCTAAATGAAGGCAATGTTTATTGAAGGTAAGAAGTGATATAGAACACTTCCCCTCTGGCCCACTCAGCTGTGCTCAAGTAACCTCTGCGCAAGGGCCCCCTTGGCACGCTCTGCTAATGCCAATGGGTAGCAAATGCCACACTGGCAGCATCAAGACACACTTTCTAGATCATGCCTTGGCAGCACAGCTGGGGTCATTAGTTTTGCTTTGTGAAAATTTCAATATGATCTTTTTTTTTTTAACTATGTTTAAGATCCAAAATGACCAGACACATTAACACTCTCACTCATATTTTAGGATTTCTTTGGAAAAGGGAATACATTTTGAATGACATGGCCACTACTCAAAGAGTGCAGGTGTTAGTTCATTGAACAGGTCTGCAGGTGTCTTCCTGTTGGTGGGGCTGAACCTGTATTTGACGGGTTAGAGTGTGTTGAGGACTGGGCTGGCTTTGTTCTGCCTCGGTTCTGCACTTGACTGGAGAGGAACTGCTGGGCATGAAGGCTCTCATGGCCACCTGTGTTCTAAATATACCTCTGCCAGCTGTCACCTAATAAATGTAGCCAGATCCGAAATGAAGAGGGTCGGGAGTTAAAGATAACTGGGGACTTGTTTTGAAACATGACAACCTTCTAAAAAAAGCTACTGAGAAAGGTCTCGCCTTTTACAACTGGATTAAATAATTAGCTGGAAAAAATAATTAATAGTTTGCCATGTAACCTTATAAGGTTGGACATCTGAGTACAGATTCCTGGGAGCTGAGTACCAGGTGCCATAACAAGAATTTAACATTTTGAAGAGGAAAATTCAGCCAATGGCATGCAAGTGGTTGCTTTAAAGATGTCCCTAGGACAGAGGTGATTTATAAAATAACATGAGCAATCAAAGCTAAAATGTTCATGCAACATAGTGACTCAACCCAAATCGGAAAGCCAAACCAGAATTTGCTAACGTAAATTTAATATCAACATCTGTCCAGTCAACTGACCTCAATACCTACAACAAACTTTACTTGAACAGAACATTTAGGCCACATTTGCATAATTTATTTGCATATTTTACATACATTTTCATTCAAAGCAGTGCATTCAAGATACACATTCAATGTGCTCTCTCTCATTCAAACTCTTACGATCTTGGCCAGCATCGTGCTCTGCCAATTGAGATACAAGAACACCTAGTGCAAACCCTAGTGTGCTTATTTTAAAAACTGCAGGTTGTAAAACTGAGTGACAATTATTACCTTTAACAGCATGCAAAGATCACCCTGCACTAGGATAAGGTCACCATGACCAAAACAAACATGCATACTGGTTAGAGCAAGACACTAGACTGTCAAGACAAGGGCTGGTTCAATTTCCTGAACTAAATTGCATTCATTATAGGACTTCAACATGCTAAATTATTTTTGGAATATGGGCAACAGGGACATGATGCCACACCCTAAGGCTTTACGCCTTACTCTACCTTCCCGCAACACTCCAAATCATGCAGATTCAAAGTCTGTATCCTTTGTTTTGAGCCAAGAGGCCAATCTGTGATGTTATATCCTCTATTCGTCAAATATTTTTACACAATACAAATTTGCAGTTCAGAGTTCAACAAACTTGAACATTGGTACGCAGACACTCCTTTATAAGGCACTCATTAAATCAGATCAACATATGATGTGGCAAATTTTTTCACTGTGACGCTCTAATGTGTTAAACACGTGCACACATGCATATGTTGCACTGCATGTAAGTGTGGTGTGCAACTTGTTACCAGGCCTAAGATACGCATAAGGAAGCGCTTAAGGGGCAAAACTATACCACATGAAGAGGACTCAATCCTTTGATTTTCAACAGACATAATGCAAGCATATGCTATTAGCGAAACCACACGGAAAGCTGGATGTAAAACTCCATTACAGCATTTCCAAATGAAGGCAAACATACACTGACAAAATCATTATTCATATCTCCACAAAATTAGAAATCATGCTCTGAGATATTCAATGGGTTCCATTCTAAAACAGAGAATACCAGCTTACATTTTGGCTAAGATCAGATAAAACTCAACTTCACAAGGCTGAATTGGTGCTTA